GAATGTGAGGTGCGCAGTCGGACCATCACCCTGTCGGTCAGCTCAGCACCCCAGGCCCCCGGGGATGTCAAGACCAGTGTGGAGGAGCGGGATGGGGAAATGGGGTGTTGTCGCCCAGGCTGGCTTGTTTGGGGGGAACGAGCTGCCCCCAGTATGCTTGGGCTCTGCTTCTTTCTCCCTCCACCACCCTGGGGGGGCTTGTATGAGGGCGGGGGGTGTTGCCTGCGTCCTTACTTCTGAACTGGGGAACAGGGAAAAAGGCTTGCGCCGGGCAGGCCGAGCACGTCCTGGGGCCGAGGACAGCCAGGCCCAGCCCCGCCTTTGGGAGTCTGGCCTCCGCTTCTGCTTGCATTTAAGCTCCGTCGTCTCATAGCCTTGTTGGTGTTTTGAAACTAGAGGATCCCACTTAAGTGAAGTCTCCAAAGCGCTCCTACCCCAAAACCCCCGCGGCCCCTCCACAGTGCACAGGGCCCCCCCCCCGTGGGGTCTCTGTCCACACAGCGACACCGTCCAGCATCTCCTTCTCTGCCTTATCTCGCGGGTGTCATCCCCTCCAGCTCACCCCCTTGCCACAAATGGCAGCTGTTCTATCTCCACTTTCTCCTGACCACCCAGGGACACCCTGCCCGGCACTGCTTCTCCCCGAGGGTTCAAAGGCAAAGGGAGGCCTGGAGCTACCTCTTGGAGAAAGGGGGCTGGGCAGGACTGCTTCCTAGGGGTGTCTCCTTCGCTCCTTTGAACTCATAAGCTGGCACAGACCAGACCTGCCCTGCACCCTCCCCTCACGCAGCCACTACCACCAGACAGAGCAGCAAAGATCCCCGGGGGAACAGCACACTGGGTTCGGAAGTCTGGCTGCCCGCGAGTGTACAAGACCCGGATGAAGACCAGTGAGCCTGAGAACCTCACCCATCACCTTAGCACAAGTGGGAAAGGCCAAGAATTTAAGCCGGTCAGCCCAGTACACTAGGAGAGGAAAGCGATGATATTACCAGCATGGAAACAGGAAGAACTCAGAGATTCTTTGAATCTCTGTGCACCACCCACATTCACTGCAACATTATTTACAGTAGCCAAGTTGTGGAATCAACCTAGGTGCTCAGCAGACAACTGGGTGAAGACGTGGTCTGTGTCTGCACTGGAATACTATGCAGCTACGAAAAAGACAGCCCCTGCCTTTTGCAACAGCATGGGTGGGACTCAAGCGTGCGATGTCAAATGTAATAAGTCAGATAGAGAAGGACAGACACCACGTGCTTTCATGAATATGGTACTTACCGACGCAAAATGAACTAAATAAAACAATGAACTTTCAAACTATAAGACCCAGTTAGTGGTCATGTGGCCAGAAGGATTGGTGAAAGGGGATGGACGTGTCAGGTAAAGGGTCCAACTGCCTGGCGAAGGAAAGAATTGGGCCTCGGGCGGTGGCCTTACTCCTGCGCCTGATCTATACCGACGCACACCGGGACCTTCAGGGTGTCGTAGTGCAGTGTCCTTTCTATTTAAAAACATCTTGAAAGAAATAGAAAAACCTAAGCGTTCAGATTATGATAGTCCCCAAAAATTCCTATAGAGGAGAAAGAAAGAGGAGTACAACTCCCAGAATTAAAGAACGCTCAACTACCTCAGTGCAAAAGAGCAAAAAAGGAAAAAGAAAAAACATGGGAGACCTGACATGGGACGTGAATCTTAGGAACATCAGGGTCAAAGGGGAAGGTGCCAGACTTCCAGGGAGGACCAACGGGTTCTCTACAAACGTGCTTCATTCAGACGCGCTAAGCTTCCGAAACAGCACTCCTGGCTAGAAGAGCCGCGCTGTTGAAGCATCCGAGGAAAATCACTCTGATCCTTGGCCCTCGTGTAAAACAGCACGCGGTTAAGAGCTGCCTCTCACACCTGTCGTGAAGGTCGTTGGAGTCTTCGACAAAGCGCGCGAGTTCCTGGAACTCTGCTGAATGCGCACAGGCATAAGACCGTTTTCGGACGCGCAGGTTCTCAGAGCCTTAGCGCAGGAAAACCCAAGCGGATCCACCCTGGGAGGAAGCATTCACGTCACAGGAGCTGCGCCAGGAAGGGCCGCACTCACTGTGGATGGGCAGCTGACAGAGCAGCCCGTGAAGTGGACGGCTGTGCGGGACCCGGCCTCTTGCTGCAGCCGCCGTGAGGCTAAAATCACTGCAGAATGAAAACACTCAAGAACTGTGTGTTTTTTTAAAAGTCCAAGAACAGACAAATGTTCGTTTGTCCGTGAGAACCCAGAGTGAGCCTCAGGTTCTCGAACAGGCAGGAATGTGGCCAGCAGCACAGGCGGAGAGACAGAAAGGCAAAGCAGCCGACATCGTTCGGCCGGGCGTGACTCGGAGTGACTTGCGTATCTGAGTGCAAAAGGGGAAAAAGTGAAATTCTGGAGTAACTGAAAGCAAGTCAAGGGAAAGTTAAAACAAGAGCCAGAGATGCCTGGCCAGAGCTCCTGACTTACACTGGCTGTCCGACCCCCCGCCAGGGAGGGACCCCAAGGCGCAGCAGACCTCTCCTGGCTCCCCGCTGCTCCCCTCAGCAGTGGGCTTCGTCCATCTGCTCCCCACTCTGTCTCTGCCGACTCCTCTCACCCCCCTCCTCTGGCCTGCACCCCAGTTCTGTAAGCAGAAATAAGTAAATCTACAGCAGAACCTCTCTGGTGGCCTAAAGGCTGAGTCTCAGCGCTAAATCCCAACAGCCTGAGTTCTCTCCCCAGCCAGGGAGTGAGCCACGGGGTGCAGGAGACCCCTCTTTTCTCCCCCTGCTCCCCTGCACAGTGGGTTTCAGTTAATCTGCTGTTCTTCTGTCTCTGGGGAGTCCTCTCACCCCCACATCTCTGGCCTACACCCCAGTTCTTCTATGAATAAATAAATCTTTTAAATAAAAAAAGAGAGTAAAAATGGGAAAGAAAGCAAAAATAACTGACAAAAGGGACCAGCCCAGAGTTGATTTTCTGAAATAATCATAAAACATGCAACCAATTGGCACGATTGGTCAAGAAAAAGCAAGAAGCCCCAGTGACTCCCATCTGCTCGTAAAAGAGGAAGTCGTTCTGAGCAGCACAGTGCCAACGTTGGGCGCTTTGGCAAACTCTGAGAAACAAGGACATTCCTGGGGGAGAAGCTGCTCGCCCGCCACCACTCACACGGCCCCACGCGGCCACGGCCCCACGCCGGCCACGGGCTCCCGGCCAGCGCCAGCCCCGGGGGCACCGGCCAGTTTACTTTCTCCCCAGCAGAGGAAGGAGTGGGAGTCTCCCCGATTCCTCAACATCACCTCGAAACCCAAAACCCTGAAAAGCCAAAGCAGGAGGAGAGGGAAGGGGAAGTCCTGGGGCGCCGCTGAGAGGACCCAGACGCTGGCCACGCCCCCCCGCCCCGCCCCGGGGCAGCCCGGCGCCCCTCAGGGAAGCTGAAGTGATTTTGTCCTAGAAAATGGCCAGATGACAGACGGGGGTCCTCCCCGTGGGAACGCTTGAGTCATTCACAGAACTTTGCGGTAGAAAGTTAAAGCCGCGCAGCGAGAGAAGGGAGCTCGGTGACAGTCGTCCACGGGAAAAGTCAAAAAGCCAGCGGAGCCCACAGGGCGGGCGCTGTGGCGGGCGGGGCGCCGCGCGGGCAGCGGGGCCACAGGGACTGCCCACGCTCACCAGCTGCGCCGGGCAGCTTGCCAGGGCCGCGAGGCCTGCGGCGGGAGAAGAGAGCGGCGGAGAGGAGGCCCTGCCTCAGCGGCTCCCAGAACGTGTCACAGCCGCGCCTCTGAGATGCCCCAAGATTCCGGGGACACCCCGTGCAGCCCCGCGTCTGCAGTGGACGGCCGACCTCTGAAGGCCCCGGGGGCCGCGCCCTCCCTGGTGGCGCAGGGGTTAAAGCACCGCAGGACGAAGCTGTCCCCCTGCGCTGGCCAGGGAGGGACCCCAGGGCGCAGCAGACCCCTCCTGTCTCCCCGCTGCCCCCCTCAGCGGTGGACTTTGTCCACCTGCCTCTTCTGCTCCCACCCTGTCTCTGGGGCGTCCTCTCGCCAGCCCTGCACCTCTGGCCTGTGCCCCAGTTCTGGACGCATAAATAGATCAAATCTTTAAAAAACAAGTTCTCCATAGAAATCGACAGTGCTGCTGTCCCGGGCGCCACAGGCTGAGGGGTCTCAGCTGGGCGTGGCGGGGCCACAAGTGTGCGCAGGCCACAGCGTCCCCTCCCTCTCGCCTCAGAAGGGAAGCTGCCGCCAGAC